ATACCGCTGATGTATATGAATATATATATACACATATGATATATGTATGTATATATGAATATATTCAGAAAAATAAGGTAAATTGTAAATTATTGAATTCATTTTAATTAATGGTATGTTGACTCTATATATGTATGTATTGTATTTATGTTTGTATGTTTGTATTTGCAACTGACTGTTTTGATTGACTAAACGCTGATATGCATGTCTATATAGTATATCATATATTTATGTACAGCTCTCTATATTTATTATTTTTACGTGTTTCATATAAAAGTACTTAAATGGTCTTTGTCCCTGAATGAAATGCGCCTGGCTTATTAATTGTTATCCAAAAATAACCCGCCCCTAAACTACGCTTAGAATTTGTTGGCTCTTGTTGCTCTTATTTGCTGACTAGTGCGTTTTCTCCTACTCTCTTGCGCTCTCGCTCGCTCTCTCTCTTTGTCTCTCTTTCTCGCTTAACTACAGGTTGCCGGACTTTTGACTGCTCCCACTCCCAGTCACACCCAGTCTCGCCCACGCCCACTCTGCCCCCCTTTGGCTATTGCATTTTGTAGAGCTGCGGCGGCTCTTTGGAGGCCGGCATCCCCTGATCATAGTTGCCCAGCTCCGCTTCGTACAGCAAATTGTTGATCAGATGCTTGACGACTATCTTCGACTTGGGCGTCTTCAGTTTTCTTATGGTGATGGCCACGTACTCACCGAACACCCCATATTCATCCACATGGCTGTTGCCGGCCAGGCTGCTGCCGCTGCTCATTTTGAGGGGCGTGGCAGTTAGGCTGGATATGCCGCTGCTGCCAGTTGTGGCCAGATCCAAGGAGCTGCTGTTGTTGTTGTTGCTGTTGTTGTTATTAGTATTGTTGTTAGTGTTATTGTTGCTGTTGCTGCTGCTGTTGTTGTTGTTGTTGTTGTGGGCCAGAGTTGGCGAGCAGGAGAGATCACGACCACGATCACGTTTTTGTGCCATGTTATTGGAATGTTGTTGTTGTTGTTGCTGCTGCTGATGTTGTTGTTGTTTTTGTTGTAGCTGCTGCGGTTGTGCATGCCCATTGCCATTGTGGCTGCCATGGCTGAGATTGTGGCTAAAGTGTTGCTGCAGCGTATGAAATGCGATCTGATTGTGTGGATGTTGTTGTTGCTGTTGCTGTAGTTGTTGTTGTTGCTGCTGTTGCTGATGCTGATGTTGATGTTGGTGTTGCTGCAGCACTGTCGTCTGCCCCGTCGACTTGATGGGCGTCAGAGTTAATGCCCCAACCACGCCCCCAACAATGCCAACGCCCACGCCAGCGCTGACATCACAGCCATCGAGCTCATCCATTTGCGCTTTACGCTTGCGCGGATTATATGTCAGATCCGTGGGTTTGTAGTAGCTCGCGGAGAGAGAGAGCGGCGTGCTCGTCTGCCTATCGAGCATGCCCAGCTCTGGTTCGTGCTCGATCTGCAAGCGATAAAATATAGAAGCAGAGGGAGAAGAAGAAGGTGAAAAGGGGAACAGAAATTAAACAGTGGTTAGTAAGCTCTTAACTTGTGGGACAAGAAAATATAAAAAAGAGAGTACAGAGGGTATACTGACTTATCAGATTAAGGAAAATAGCAAAGATTATTTTTACATTTTATATAGGGTATACATTATACTTTTCAAATATTCTATAGGGTAAAGAGACTTATACATACATAATGTACATACATAGATTGTCCCTACAGAAAATATACAAAAATGCGTTTAATTGCTAAAAAAAAAATATACCCCTTTTTTCCACTTCTTACAAAATATCCCACTTAATTATCTTTTCTTATCAAAATTAAATTTGTATTATGCCAATATTCATGTACGTATGTATGTATATCTACATACATATGCACATAGACTAACTAAGCCCCACTACAATTCCGCTTATACAGGGTATTCGCATGCCCATTCTTTAAGTCATTTGCAATGCAATCAAAGATCAAAAGCTCAAGCACTCATACTTACAATTTCTGTCTTCACATCTTCGGCGCTGATATTGCAATAGCTCTCGCCATCCAAATCGGAAGAGGAACGTGTCTACGAAAGAGAGAGAGAGAGAACAAATCGTTAAGAATTGGCAAAGGCAAGAAATATGAAAAGACGGATAACTAACTACATAAAACATTAATAATGACAGTGTAAAGAATTTGTCAGACAAATAATAATAACACCAACAACAGTAACAACACCAACTAAATGATAATAGACAAAGGCGAAACAACAAAAAAGCATAAAGCAAAGAGAAAAACATATTAGAATAGTAATAAAAAATAAATAAACAAATGTGAGCAGCAGTCAAACTCACACACACACACATGCGCTCACACAGACAGTCTTTGCATACAGATGGCAGCGCGAGAGCCAGCGGCGATTAAATTAGTTGCGTTTGTCGAGACGGGGCTGGCGACGCGGCGAATTCAACATCGAAGTGGACCAACGAGCGGCCAGACAAGCAGACGAATAGACAGATGAAGCGAACGAATGAAAAAATCAAAACACAAAAACAAACGCAAAACGCAGCGCAGCAACTTGCTATAGTGAAGCTAATGCTGCTGCTGGTTGCTGTTGATACTGCTTAGGCGGGTCCATTGCCAGCGTAGCGGTTGTGGGTGGGCGGGGTGGTGCGCAGCTGTTGAGGGGCAGGGTCGCCGCAAAACGTGTAGCTGCCGATTTCTACGGCTGATGCAACACACAAATGGCTATGGCTATGGCTAACGTAGCAGCAGCAGCAGCAGCGACAACAACGGCGGCAGCAGCGAAAATCAAAGCCAGTTGACACACAGACAGGACACACACACGCACACGCACATACACTTGCACAACACACGTCGCTTATCAAGCGCAAGCGACGCAATAGCAGCGGCAGCGCCACAGTGACAAACAATGGTTAATTATTGCAATGGGCTCTGACGAGATAAATTGATAATGCATAATGCATCAATTGATTAATCAATAATATCGTAAAGATTGCAAATTCGTTTAATTTAACTTTCAATAGCGATTGTTTTTACAATTGCAGCGCAGGTTGCCGCCGCAGTGTTGCCACCTGATTAATATTTGTAAAATGTGCCATTGCGAGCAGTTCTAGCACAAGTGCAAGGCAAATTAGTAAGTAAAAGGAGTGAAAAGAAACGGTGTAAGCTCAAGTGCGGACATTTCGTGTCTTACTAAAAAGCTCGAGCCACTGTGCGCCACAGTTTGTAGCTGTTGCTGACGAACCGCTAGACACAGAGCCAGCAGCGACGGCGCGTGTACTGCGCTGCTGCTGCTGCTGCCGCAAAACAAGTCAAACCACTCACACATACTTGCAAAAGCACACATGGACACACACACACTAYTACACTTTTACGCTCATTCTCGCTCGTATGAAAAGCAAAAGCTTCACCGGAACGGAACGTTAACAACAAACAAGAATAATCACTTAGTCACACCGATAAATACCCTACCTAATGAAAATGTTAGCAAATCAATGAGAGCATAATTATGAATGAAATAACAAATAATTATTATAATTATAATGCATGTTGTGTACATATTAAAATGTGAATGCACATGTATGTGCAGCTATGCATGTGTGTTTGTTGTACGAAAATGTGGTGAATAACATAAGACAATTAACTCTACAACAGTGTAGTGTATAGAACATAAGAAATGAGAAATAATATGCACAACAAAGTAAAATCAATAAGGAATAAGCAATAGGCAATAGGCAATAGGAGCTTACCACAGCAGCTGAGACGGCTGCAGCGGCCGTTGCTGATGATGCTGTTGCGTCGCTGCCGCTGCCATTGCCAGCACCATTGGAATTGCCATCTGAGGCTGCTGCATCGTCGTCCATATTGTGTTCCCGTTCCCTGACGTTAGCCGCGGCTGCGGCTGCAGCCACAACAGCAACGGCGGCTGCGACGCGAGCAGCGAAGTCTTCGTGCTGCTCAGCCTGTTGCTTGCCCGCAGCAACAGCTGTCAGCTGTTCCAAATCTAGGCTATGCATCAGCGTCAGTTTATCAGCTGCTTCCGAGTCCAGCAGCGCTGTCGACGCAGCCGGTTCTACGTCACTGTCAACGACGCCGTCCATGGCAGAGGCGTCGGCGTCCCGTTCCCCATCCAAAATGAAGCGAATTGCCTCATATGCAAACCACATGGGCTGATAGTGAACGCCTCGGCTGCGCCCGTTGATCACCTTGCCGTGCTCACGATGGAAGGAGGAGCGCAGCGATTTGATTTTCGAGCGAATCGAGCGAATTTCTGTCCCATATTTCTGGCTGAGCAGCTTGAGCGCCTCGTATTTGGTCTGCTTGATGTGATAGCCTTTGGTGTTTGGGTCCCAGAGCACGCGCTGCCGTCGATAATCCTCGATGAAGCCCAATATCGTGGCGCGCGACCATTCAATGCGATCCGCAGGCGAGGCCTGCGTCGACGGCGACGGTGACGGCGGCAGCGCTGCGGCGTCAGCAGCAATCAAAGCGATAGCATTGGAGTTGGCGTCGAGTTTGTACTGCGCTGCGCTGGCGCCACTGCTGGACATCGTGCGGAGAAAGTTAACGGTTAAAGGAGGCAGTGGTGATGCTGCTCTTGCTGCTGTTGTTGTCGTTGTTGTTGGTGTTGTTGTTGTGGTGCAGTGGGTGGTTTGTTGGATGGTGCTGGTTCGGTACGGTTCGGCTGGGTTGGATGGATGCGCGCGCGCGCAAGCGGCTGCCGGAGAGAGACAGTGTGAGTGTGTGAGAGAGAGAGAGGAAGGTAGCAAAGAAGGTAAACGCAACGCAACGCAAAACGCAACGCGACGTAAAAAATAAGCGTCCACAACACGTTGCTTTTGACTTTCGACTGAGGCGGCGGCGGCCGCGGCTAGCGGTTGTGTGGCAGAGGAAGCGTAGCAGCAGCAGCAGCAGAAGCAGTAACGGCAGCGGCAAGTGTGGCGGCGGCGGCGGCCAAACGGCAGCTCAGCTGCACTTTGTGCGAGAGAGCGCGCGAGTGTGCGAAGCACAGTGGTACGCGACCTAATTTCAATTAACCAAAATGCAAATTACTTGTGAAATTTAATTGACTATTTAAAATAAATTAATTAATAGAAAATAAATTAACAAATTATAATAAGATATATATGAATTCTTTTCAATTAAATTTTCCAAATTTCCTTTTATAGTAAATACATAAATTGTAAGTGTGAAAGTAAAGGAAAAGAAACAGTGTGCCTTGCAATATCTGTGTATAGTTATTTTAGATTTAATTATATTGTATTCTTCAGATAGAATAAGTGGTCAATCAATATACACATTTCATTTACCACGTGGAATTGGCTTTTGCTCACACACGCTTTTGGTTATCGGCACCACTGTGCGTCGTTGCTTCGTCCAAAATCAACGCAAAGGTGTGCGCGACTCAGTGTTTGCTGTTTGTGTTGGTGTGTGCACACGTACGGGCTAGCATGTGCGCAAGTGTGTACGTGTGCATGTGTGTATACGTGTGTCTGTGTCTGGCTCTGTGCGTGTATGTGTGCTGGTTGCAGCGGCACGCGGGGGCTTTTTTTCGCTCACTCAACGACTTGACGTAGCTGCTGCTGCTGTAGCTGTTGTTGTTGCGGCTGCTCTGCCCGGAGACCTGTTGGTTGCTCGCTTGATAATGCGACGCTTTGTTGTTGTTGTTGTTATTGTTATTGCTATTGTTGTTGTTGCTGCTGACTGTTTTGGGTTTTCTATTTGTTGCTGCTATCAGCTGTTTTATTGCATGTTGTTGTTGCCGCAATACATACGTGCGACGTGACGTTGCTGTTGCTGCTGCTGGTGTTGCCACTCGACGTTGACGTTACGATCCCCCGACACGTTCGTTGTTGTTTTCGCCGCTTCGTCGTTCGTCGTCGGTCGTTCGCTGTTGAAATCACGATTTGTACTAATTTCACATATTTAAACTGTGTGTGGCATGCGCGCTGCTCCAAACGGGCCAGTTGCTGTTGTTGTTGTTGCTGCTGTTGTTGTTATTGTAGCTGCTGCTGCTGCTGTTATTGTTGCTGCTGCCGCTGCTGCTGTTGGCCGTAAGTTCGTCACTTGGTTTTGTGCTCGCCTCACGCCCCCGCCCACCGCTACAAACACCTTCCATACTCGCTGCTGCTGTGGTTTTAGCACTTTTAGCACAGATCATTACCGCTACATCATAAGCTTTACCTAAAGCTTAGAATGCGGCGAAGGCGAATCTGTCTGGCATTCTTTTTCTGTGTCTGCAAATTTCGCCGTACCGTGTGTCACAGCATATTGAAGTTAGAAACAAATTTGTTATCGATTTCCGTCTGTTAAAACTTATGTTTTCTTTCTTGTTTATTTTCAATCTCTAGAATATCTGCAAATCAAACTTGTTATCTGTGTGTGATAGTGTATATGAATTTCGGTGCCTTTATCGTAATTTTTATTTCTCGTTTCTGTTCAGTTTCGCCCGTGTGGCGATCGYTGCTGCTGTTGCTGCCTGCTGCTGCTGTCGCTACCGTCAACGGCAACACGTTGCACAGTGGGCCCCGCTTCTGCGCATGTGACAAAGGCTGCCAAAAAATAGCTGACTAGCAAAGTGTAGCAAAGTGGCGGCCATGACGCTGGATAGGCTAGTGGCGTGTGCTCGTTAAAATGTTGGCTACAGCRCACATTGTATATTTAAATACATATACATTTCAACAAATGTATATATGTATGTAAGTGTGTATGCTTACGTATTGTATGTACGTCGCGATCTAAATGTTCGGTTTAGGTATACAATTTAATGTAAATAATTCAATTTTTACCATTACTTTCAAGTGCTTTGCCTTTGCTCCACTGTGCAACGGGCAGCTACAGCTGTAAATTTTGTTGCCGTCGTTCAGAAGTTGTTATCGTTGCCGCCGCCACCGCCGCCGCAGTTGGACGAAACTGAATAACAAAAACAAAATTCGCAAAAAGCTTCACAACGCGGTAACAAATTTTGCGAGTCAGCAGAATGAAAAAGAAACAAAAAAGAAAAGAATCAGAAAAAAAGGAATTGCATTTCACGGCAAATTTGGTTGTTTTTGTTAATCAAGGGGCTGGCTGGCTGGTCGTTAGCTTAGTTGTCGATTGCCAGGGGCGAGGGAGCTGGCAAAATCGACAGCGTCGCCGTCGCTCACGTAGGCAGCTTTGTTTTTGCATTTTGAGTTGACAACTTTGTTGTCCCGCTCCGATCGATGAACGACATTTAATTGTGCTCTCCCTCTCTGCCTATCATGGTGTTGCGCTCTTTCTCTCTCTGCCCTTCGCATGCAAGTCCTCACACGTGCAGGTTTTAATTTCGCCGAATTTTGTCGTCGTAAGGCAAATTCAAACACAGACACACAAAGGCATGCATTAACAGAGTTAGAGCTTGTGCATTTCGCAATGCATTCGCTCTCTCTCCCTCTCAGTCTTACTCTCTCTTTGGCTGTTTTACTTCATGTCACCTCTAATACTCACAGCATTTTAACATTGCGGAAGCTTTCGTGACTGCTTCTGCTTCTTACTTTAACTGCTCATTATCAAGCGCCGCTGTTGCTGCCGCTGTCTCTGCCTCTGCCTCTGCCACTGCCTCAGTCGCTGCTATCGTCGACTGTGGCAGCGACATGTTTGCCGCACCTACGATAACGGCATTAACTTGACTTAACTTAACAAACCCGATCCCCTTCCTGTGCCCTATTGAAATACCGCATAGCATCAACATGAGCCGCCGCTCACTCAGTGAAAGCAACGAAAATGCTGCGACTGCAACGCGGAGTGCGCCAGCAAAAATTAAATCTGAAATTGGCTCTGACTGCGCGTCAGTCGCTATTGCTACCGCTACCTTCGCTGTCATCGCTGCCAGCGCTTGCGTCGCTGTCAACGTAAGCAACGCAACGCGTCGCGCTGTGGCGCAAAGCTTTGCATTCAATTTTCGTTTCAAGTTGACAAATTGACGTTCAAAGTTGTTTGCGCAGCATTTCAGTTACAGTTTTAGTTTAGCTGCCTGCCTTTTCCGCTTCCCTCATTCCACTCGATTCTCCAGCCTGATGCCATTACCGTTGCAATCGCTACACACACACACACACACAAACACCCATATCGTTGCCTTTGTCAGTTCTGGTTCCTTATTATTTTTATGATTTCTTCACAATCTTTTTACGTCCTTTGGCTGCCTTAAAATGCAAGTATTTTAGTGTGTAGATGTGTGTGAGATGCGTATGTAAAACGAATACAGTGCACGACAAACGTTTGCGGAAAACTAGAAAAAGTAGAAATATTCTAATACTGTGTATTTTCAAGTAATACAAATTCACATATAAAATAATATCTATAAACAAATGTATATTATATTTTTAATAGTTTTCTAAATACATTTAACATAATATATACATATATTTAAAAATTGGTTATTTTTGGTTTTTATATGTTTTATTTTTTATATTTATATAAAAATACTTAAACGTATGCATTCCGCTGTGAGCCACTGTACGTAATAGAACGAGGTGCTGTGGTTCCTGTTGTTGCTTTTGCTTTTGCTGTTGCTGTTGCTGTTGCTGTTATTGCTTGTTGTCATTGCCAACTAAATTGCATTGAGCTGTCACATTAGAGAAGCAACTCGATATGCCAGTCGCTTGCATCTATCTCTCCCTCCCCTCGGCCCCTTTGCTTGCTCTCTTCTTCGTGCCTGCCACTCTATACTCAGCTGAACAGTTTTTATCAATCAACTTTGGAGGTGTTGTTGTCGCCGCTATTGTCGTGGTCGCTCTCCTTCTTATTCTTCGGCGTGTTGTTGTTTTTGCGATTTGTTGTTGCGTGCACTTTAGTTGAAATTGCTGTTGACGTTGACTGTGCAATACATATTTTTATTTTTATTCAATTTCAACGTCACTTGAACGTCGCTAACGACGWCGTCGTCGTTGTCGTCGTCCACGCTGTTGTCGATGCCTCTGTCATCATCATCATCAACATCATTATCATCATCATCATCGAGAACATCGGTTCGCCTGCTGTCTTCCTGCTGTTGGCTGTGTTTGTTTTTGTTTATTTCAATTATGCAGCGTCTATCGTTTATCGTTTATCGCGCCCAGCCAATTCAATTGGATAAGCCACGCAGCTGTTTAAAGTGCACTTCCTTATGGCCCGCATGCCCCCCGTGCCAACTGGAGTGAGCAACAATTCTCCAATTGGAATTGCAATTGCAATTCGTACAGCCGCTTGAGTGAACGTTTATTTATTTACTTATTTAGTTTGTGCAACTGATGCGTATCTCTGCTGCACTTGCATTTCGCACTCTGCTACTGCTTCGCTTCGCTCTAACGGGAAATCGCACTCGACGGACTGCGCTCAAAGGAAGTGCATTCGAATGGCTGCACATCTGATAAACATGATACCCATAGACAGCTAACAGCTAACAGCTCTGCCGCGGCCTCTGCCTCTGCCTCTGGGCTCTGGCTCTGCCCCTACGTCCGATACCGATATCGATATCCATTGCAACCACTCGAGCTTTTCTCTAATTAGCTTTTTGCACTGATTTCGCGTTCTGAAGGTTGCCCTCTCAATGCGAAAACATTCACGATTTGCCATATCCGCTTCGATTGCATTTGTCGCTGGCTAACTTGATGTTGGCAAAATTGACATGCAGATGCAATCAGTTATAAATGCGCATGTTTATTTTTAAATATTTGCAAAAAATAAAATTTCATTTGAATAAATCAAAGATTAAATCAATAAAAAAATTTAAGCTTAAGCATCATAGGTCGTTGATTAGAGATGATGTCAAAAGCATGATATTATTCTCATGTTAATTACATAATAGAATTAAAGATTCAGAGATGATTTTATGATATTTTTACCGATACATATTAATATAATAAATATAAATTTGAATTCATACAAAAATATTATGGAAATAATTTAATTTTAGTTATTATTTGCAATCCGTTTTAAATTTTATTAAGTTATAGCTGAAATATAAATTTATGTGTACATATGTTTCCGATAAAAGACTTGCCTATAAAAGTTCTTTGTTATTTGTTTGTGTACGGTATAACATCTAACTAATTTTAGCAAGAACATGTACATACATAGGACTTTCTCTTTAATAAAAATTAAAAAAGAACGTTACCCTATTGGGATATCCATATCTACCTGCAGGGGAGTCGCAAATCCACGCTTATCCCAAATTTATACCGACTTAATTTAATCTATACTTAATTCAGATTCAAGTTTTAAGCCTGTGCTTAAATCTCTTTTTAATGTGGAAACCTCAAGCCCATTAATATGGAAGTTATTTGAAACCTTTTGCTCGTTGAATTTAAGAGCATTTTTGATATACTTGGATTAGGGGCAGGGGAACATGGCAGGGCTCGAGAGGTGGAGGGGTATACGAGTGAAACACGCCCGATTAAGACATTCTGCGGTCATCTTCATGTGAAGAGGCATTTGCTGCCTGCATATAATTACGTTCGTTCGGCTTTTCGGGTGGCTCATTCATCACGCAGGCAACCAAAATGTATCTCAAAGATTGTTAGCACTTGGGCCCGACAGGCAGTGTGGACGTGTACGTGGGCGTGGGCGTGGACAAGACAAGAGTTATTTATGTTGTATAGCCAGCTACAACTATTAAAAGTAACTACTTAGCAAACACTGAAGCCGACCAACCGTACCCGTAACCACTGAGCCAGCGAGCCACCGAACCACCGAGCCAGCGAGCCAACGAGCCAAGGAGCCATCGGCCTGCCCAATCCGAAAGTTTTTTCACAAAGTGCCATTTAGTTAAACATTTTGACACATGATAAATGAGTTGTATAAGCCCACAAACCCAGCATTAGGTCAGACATATGTTGAGTCCTGCTGCCCCCCTCCTGTGCGCCCTCTGTGCGCTTTTGGTCAAAGATCTGCTATTGCTGGCAATTAAAGTGGCATGAAAGACGCTTCGGTAACCCATAAATAGTATCTATAAAGAAAGCACTAACATGTAAATTTCGGCAAGAGCCGAAGCAGAGCCAAGCCAAGCAGAGCCAAGCAGAGCAGGTCCTTCCGAAGGACTTCCGCACAGCAGCCAAGCGTAGAGAACTCATTAAATAGAAAGCATTTAGTGCGCATCTAGATACAGCTGTACATACTTATATATAACAGCAGGCCGGTAATAGAATGTCATAAGCAGCTGCCAGAGGGTGCGAAATTGAACGAATGAATGAATGAAGGATGGATGGATGGCTGCTTGCTTGCTCTAAGTGTGATATCACAAGTCAAAGTTTGAAGCAACCAAAAAAAAAAAAAAAAACAAACTGAATCGTCGTAAAAGTCAGCGCCATCGTCCTCGTTGTCCTCATCGTCGCCTGTCGACAGGAAGGTCATTTAAGTTTTAATGATAGAGTTGTGTGTGTGTATAGCGTGGAAAAGGAAGGAAGGACGCGCCACGGGTAATGAAAAAGTTGCGCCCCAGAATTTGCGGTTCGTTATTCTACTTCATCTACTCAGGGGTAGTTGGTCTATAACCAGTTAGAGCTACAACTGAAGCTGGAGTTGGAGTTGGAGTTGGAGCTAGAGATACCATTCGTAGATTGCTCGAAGAACAAAGACAAATAAATGGAGTGAGGGTTACACAGAGTGAATCGTTGATGTATTAATTGAAATCTAGACTACGAATTATACTCCTTCAGCTTCAGATTGAATGGCAAATGTAACCGTTCTAGAGGGTAGCCAGAACAGGCAAAACTTTGTTGGTAACCAAAAGTGAACTGGAAGCTTGTACTGTAACCATTAGCTGGGGTATCCAAAACTCGAGGGAATGTGTGTGTAACTGGGGAGGAAAGTATGGTTCTTGTATAAGTTTATTTATAAGATTAATATAATTTATAACTAGATCTAGTTCTGAATGGAATTGATCTATTGTGTCAGATGTCTGTCAGATTCTAGTCAATATAGCTCATTATATGCATTTCCTTATATAAAACCAGGTCTTCATCTTTTATATGCTTGTAGTATGACATTTGCTTTTTGAAAGACTTACCCTTCCTAGTGCTCAACTGATTTCATCTTGAAAGAGTAGATGTTTTGAATAGATAGTTGCATTTATTAATCAATGTTGGTAGGGTTATTCCTATAGCTAAGTAAACAGTTCAAGTACGTGAAAGATTTTACATATTATGCTTCATTCAGGTCCGGCTACAATATCAATCATAATATTTCTACTAATTCATCAAGGAAATGTGTATTGAAACTTCGCTGTACAAACTCCTGCCCCAACTTTCGCTCAGCTGTAAATACAAAGCATTCCGCAAAAGGGTTCGACTTCTGTAAAACTTTTACATTCATGCTAAAGTTAAGCTGCAGATATAAGATATTATACACTTGATATTATATTGTACATATTACTTTAGTTAGCTGAAGAGAATTCCAATTGTTTTTGTATTCAAGCTTCCCTAGGGACTGGCCCGTCTCCACATCCTTAGCATAATTGCAATCTCTTCTATTTCTTTTTTCCATTTGATTGCACATTGATAGAACTTAGCTGGCCATTAAGCTGGATACATTTCCTGTTAATTGAATGCGTTTCAAGTGCCAAACTCGCGCCCCTTCTGGCACTGCTCCCGCCCCTGCCTCTGCCTCCTCACTTATCGAAAACAATTGCTGTCAAAGGGCGTGTGCTATTTGCATCTCTAAAACGGTGGCAATTGACGCCGGTTTGGACCGAGGCGACGCTTCGCACTCGGCTATCATCATCATCCATATCGGTTCGCAGTCGACACAGAAATTATTTAGCATGGATATATATTTAACGCTAACCCTCGGCGCCTGGCATTATGTACAGTGGCTCCTGCTGCGTTTTATGCCTTTCGCATTTTGCGCATTGTGGCCCTGGACCCTCCTGGCAGGAAGCAGGGGGTAGCCCATTGTGAGCAGGGGTAGTCAGGTCTCTGCGCACAACACTTTTGCGTAATAAGTGTATTTACTTTGTGCGAGAGTATGTATGTGTGTGTGTGAATGGAATGGAAATGGCTTTCGTAATAATGGATTTCATTAAGGCCATGCAGGACAATGAAGGACCCTCTCGCTCAGAGGCTGCGAGTCTCTCTCTCTGTATTTGTTGGTGTGTGTGTGTGTGGACGCCAATTCAAACTACGCCATGCGTAACAAATAAATTCATTAAGCGCAGCCAATGCCTCGTCCAAAACATTATCATCAACGTAACTCTGGCGCGGTGGGATGGGACGGTGGGGTAAGGCAGTCGAAGGCCGGGTCGGTGTGGGCCGGGGTAGGGGCAGACGACCGGCTGACTAAATGATAATAGCAAAAGCCGCTTGGCTTGGCACGCGTAATTAAGTTGCATGTTCGAATGTGGCCAAGTCCAAAAATTCTGTACGAGTTCCGTTCTGGCGCTACCGGCTCTCGGTTCGTCTTTACCTCTCGGCAGCCTCTACCTCCCACCTAACCGGATGTTATTCAAATGATATTTATGCCCAGTTTTGCGCACGCTCAATGTTTACGATTATGGGCCGCTGGGATCGGTCCGTGACCGGGATTAACGCAAAATTGTCAAGTATGCATCTTAGTCGCAGCCTCGACTTGTGCCTCAGCCTCCTGGTGCTTGCCGCTGTTCCGGTGCGACGTTTAATTAAAATGAATATGTTCAGGGGACGAGGACGAGCGTGAAGCAAAAGTTACGAGCGCTTCATAAATTTCAAATTAATCAATGGGCTTACGACTGTTGTCCTTGCCGCTGTTAAAATTGCATTTGTCTTGTTAACCAGCGCACGAGAAAAGGACTCGGCCCGGCTTACAGGCGAATTGAAAGTAATGCGCGTGTCCCAGGCCCAAGTATTAGTTACATAAATTCCACAAGCTTTCATCTAACCTGACGTTTGATCTCCGCCTTGGCCGTGAACTGTGAATTGTGAGCAGGAGATAGGAAGCTCGTAGCTCGTAGCTTGGAGCTGGGAGCTGGGAATGGAGCAGCTGCTGGCAACAGCTTTGGCCGTTGACTTGGCTCTGGAGTGAGCAAAGCAAGTGGCAAATTATCGCGCCGTTTACGAAAGTCTTGCCAACATTTAATTGTTCAACTTAAGACCCTGGCTAACTTGGGCTTTGGCTAACAGTCGAGTGGAGTTTATGGGGGAAGAGCTCCATCTTAGGACTTAATTTAATTTTATTTATGTCTACATCTTTATATGAGAATATATCTGTATCTGTATCTGTATCTGTATCTGTATCTGTATCTGTATCTGTATCTGTATCTGTATCTGTATCTGTATCTGTATCTGTATCTGTATCTGTATCTGTATCTGTATCTGTATCTGTATCTGTATCTGTATCTGTATCTGTATCTGTATCTGTATCTGTANCGCTGT